TAAAAAAGAAGAAGAAGAAAGCACTAAAGACAAAGAAAAGGAAGAAATCAACTGGGGGAAAACATTCTGAGCCAGAGGAAGGAGATGTAGAGCCAGATAGGGAAGGAGATGCAGAGGGAGAGAGGGAGGGAGGAATACAAGACTACTCTTCCTTCTCTGCTCAGTATCGCAGCACATTTGGGGAGAAAGGAAGGGATTCATGGGAAGGAGAAAGGGAGAGAGGCAGGAGAGAAGAAGGTGATGAGGGCAATGAGAGGGAAGAGGGTGACAGCAGCAGAAGCAGAGAGAGACATCACAAATCGTCACGCTCCCAGTCCAGACATCGTGCCCCCAGTAAGCGCTACCCTAACCTCAACAAACTCCCTGCATCAGTCAAATTTTGGGTCAATGGCAGAGGAGATGATTCTGCTACTCCTCCAACATCTCTCCACCAGCTCCTCCCATCGTCCAAGCGGAGGAGAAGTGTAGAAATGGATAGAGAAGATAGTGGTAGAGTTGGAGAGCGGCGTCCTTTGTTAATGCATTATGAAAAAGAGAAAGCACAGACAAGAGAAGGGCTGTCCTTCCATGAATGGGACTCTGAAGATGATGAGGATGATGATGATGATGAGGAAGAGGAGGAGAGAGTGAGGGACCAGGAAGAGAGGGCAAGGAGAGCAGGAAGGGGGGCAGTGTCTGAGTCAGAGAGGGATAGGGCCAGGGTAGAGGACAGTTACTCAGATGAGGGTTCTTCAGGGGAGTTTGGTCGTTTTGAAAGGTACTGGGAGGGAGGTACAGGAGGAAGCAGCACTGGAATAGGAGGCATAGGAGGAGGGGGCTGGTTCTTTGGCACCTATCCATCGAGAGAGAAAGGGGGCAGTATCAACAGTCGGGATGATTCCTTATTAGGAACCCGGGCAGAAGGATGGATTGGTGCTGATTTTTGGAGTTCTGGACCAGGTGCAGGTTTGGGATCAGGTGGAGGGAGTGGAGGGCTTGGCTTACAATGGCCACCACCTCCTGCAGCCTTCCCTCCACCTAGAAGATACTGGTCTATGGACAAGATCCCTGTGAAGGGAGAGAGGAAATGGAAGAGTGGAAGTGGGAGGAGTAAGGAAAGAGCTAGGGACAGAGGGGAAGAAGGAGGACGGGCCACCAAGTGTTCCTGTAGCCTTTACCCCCAACCCCACCCTTATCCACATCCTCACAGCCGCTCTCACACCTCACACTCCAAGAGAGGAGCTACAGCACTTTCCCACAGTCAGGAAGAGCTTCTCCCCCACTGCCACAGCTTCAGCGGGGGCTCTCACCCCAAACCTCTGCCTCCCAAACCAGATTCCAGTCAAGCCAAATCTGGCAGCCAATCTAACCTCAGCCTCAGCACGCAGCCCGCAGACCATCCACCTCAGCCTTCACCGTCACCACCCCAGCAGCAGTCAATGTCTCCTACCTCCCTCCCAATGCCCATCCCCCCTCCGCCTTCCTCATCCTCCGTCTCACCACCAGCAGGGGTAGGAATGGCAGGCCAGGGCCAGGCTCAGGCTTCGGCCAGTGCCAAACTCCAGTATCAGAGACTGCGCTCAGTGCCACAGCCACGGAGATTTTACTCCCCCCACCTGCCACTCAAAGCCAAGAGCCTATGTTCACGCAGAGGGTCGGCCCACTTCTCCAGCCTGGAGAGCGAGGTATGACAGGGGGAGAAGAGAGAGGGAGACGTGAGAGCGAGCACCACTGCTACTGAGAACCATGGTGCCATGACAGCTGGAGCCAGGGATGACACCAGAGATATGGCTGCCTTGGTGACCAGTCACTTAGCAACCATCACTGCGGGAATTAACATGAACAGCAGCTCTAATGCTAACGTTATCCTGTGTGAGAGCAACACAACCTCCACTCACTCCATTGTGCGCGTTCTAGTGAGGGCAACAGTGAGACGCCACACAAGGGTGAGCTACATCCGTTTGGATGGTTCCCATGATGACGAGAGTGAAGGCGAGGCTGTGTCAACGGGGACAGTAGCCCCAGAACTTCTCCTCAGCTCAGAATTGAGCTTTGTGATGTCATCTTCGGTTCTCCTCCCCTCCCCAAATCACAACTATGGGTAAAAGTAGTCTCCAACCTGTGAGTAATGATGTCATATTTGTACACACAAACATACATATGCACCAACACACACACACATACACAGTATATGCTCAAATCGTCTCCCTCCCTCTGGTTATGAGAACACATCTCGGTGGGATGTGGAGAGACCCACCTTCTCCCAAAAGATGCCAGCATTTGGTCAATAGACTCTGGCTCCCGGTCCTCATCGGCTGTTGGCTTTTGAACTGATTGGCGGACTGCTTCTTGGTGTCGGAGAGAGTGCCCCCTCTTCTTCACTTTTCTAAATCAGTTGAAATAAAAAGCAATGCACTCACCTCTCCCATGCACTCTGCCTGATCACATTTCACTGGGCAGTGAGGACAGTGATATTTATTTTGCCCTTTGTCCTCATGACACCATCAGACCCATCTAGCTCTACCCCAGGACCATCTGTGTGATGTCATATTTTACTAGAAACCCTTTTAACCAATCAGATTGAACAGGAACCACTTCTCGTCCTCCCTGTTGGAGCTCGTCACACCATCTCTGGTTCATCCAGAACTCAAACGCGGTTGATTATAAAGGTATTTGAACAAACCCTAAACTGAGACATAACAATAAGAACAATAAAAAAAAAAACAACAAAACAAAACAAAACAAAAAAAGGTGTAGCGGATTTTCTTTTATATGTTTGTCTTTTTTTCCTTACTCTGACTTTTCTCCCATCCCCTCTTTTATCAGTATACTTCTCTCACTGTGTTAGTGTTTTTAATAAAGAGGAGGCTGGATGTGGCTAGTGTTGGAAGTGGGAATGATTCAATAACAGTGCCAAATTTCCACTCAAGAGCTTTTCAGTAAGATTGGTTTTCAAGTAATATGTTTTCACAGAAAAAGTCCCATCGTTTCTTTTAACATGTGAACAACACATAATTCAACATCATCTAAGTGGATCAAGGGGATGATTGGTGCAATATCTGTAATTGGCACTAGATGGCTGCATAATATTCAAATAAGCTTTTCAGACAATTGTGCAAGAGGCTTCTGGGTGACTTTAATAATTGCAGCTACGTGATATAGAGGAAGGGGTGTGCAGCTATGAACTTTATTACTTTTATGAAAGTGGCCAGTCAGGATTTATACAGAGGAAGTAAGGGAATTGAAACCAAGTGCAGTGCACTGTAAAAATTCTCCTGGGATATTATTGTGTTTCACTACAGTATTGTACCTTAGCAGAGTTTGTAGATGATGGATTTTATGAAGCACAATTCCTCATTGTATTTTTCAGACCTGGGTGTCACAATTGTAACTGCACAATCTACAGGTAAGATATTTTGCTGATATGTGAAAAACTTCACTTGCTGTTAACACATGTTCCTGTTGTGGACAATAAAAGTCACTGTAACCAAGGTTCAAATAACAAAGTACCACAGACGCTTTTTGCTGAGACGATGACCTTGTACTTTGACTATTTACTTTTGGCAAAAGACTGAAAGCTATACTGTGAATGTTTTGAGTTCCAGTTTGAGCTGCACATACAATCGCTGAGACATCACTGAATGCAGTCAGTAATAACTTCTGTTATCAAGATTATCAGATGACTGTTTGACTTTGAGCAATATTCCCACCTTCAATGTGACACGGATGCAATGGCACATCTGTTTGCATCTGAGGCATTGTAATTGCTGTTCCTCTCTTTTTAAATGAGATCTTTTTTTTCAGCCAGAGTCAGATGTTTCACGTCTTTAATTATTTTCTTATAGGTAGGAAAGCTTTAGCTAGAGGTAATTGTAACAGATGAGTTAAAGTCCACTGCACCTGGCTCTGGCTGACCCATATGAATATGAAATGCTACTGTATGTGTTCGAGGGAGTAGTGAACTGTAGCATTGTACCTTCTGTGAGCTGTGCCAAAAGCCATCTAACTGTGTAAACTGTGCCAATGTTGCCAAGATTGCAGCGTTCTCCATTTGTCATAAGGTCAGCATACTCACCTCATCTCTCACACTAAGACCAGCCACAGCCCAGCTCTTCTTCTATTGTAGTTGAATGTAGCTTTGACATGATGTAGCAAAAGAACACCTACTTTTAGACTTTGTAGCTTTTGGATGATGTTGATAATGGCTACAAGGGGGGGGTTGACCTGCTACGTGAGGGACTGTGCTTTGTGTTTGTGCATGTCGTCACAGATCGAAGGGTTAGTCGACCTTTTCAGCTCCCTTTTGAACTCTTTTGCCTTCCAGCGAGGGCAGACTGTACCTTTTATCTGCACATGGATTGCTTTTTTTCTAAGTTTGCGTGGAGCAATTTTTAAAATAGTCTGTCTTTGTTTTTAGAAAAATGCTTTTGCCCTTTCCCGTCCTTTGGAAAGCCCCAGAATCACTGCATGCACAGCTAAAGGATTCTCAAAGATTTGTTGAAGGAAGGTTGTTTAGTTCAATTGTAGCAGATGTTTGGGTCCTGGGACAGCCATTTTAGGGAGGTAGTAAACTTGCTCTACAATGCACCCCAGTTTAACGGCTTCCTGTGTGGTAGAACACAGTCATTTTCAACCAATCAACAGGGCTTAAACTTGGTATGCCATGGATAATTATTGATTTCTATCAAGGCGCTAATACTTAAGTCTGTGACTGCATGAACAGAAGTGACTTTTAAAAATCCTCTGGCTTATTTTATTTATTTTATTTTATTTTATGCTGAGAAAAAATAATATATTAAAATATACTATGTTTTTTGAGAATGTACCATGTTATACTGTGATTTAACTGAGATATTTTATTGTATTCAATTATCATTTGAATTCTATCATTTATCTATAAAGAAATATATATGTACAAATAAATATATACATATATATACATACAGGTATATATATATACAATAGTTAAGTTTGGTATATTTGGAGGAAGTGTTAGATTAAATAGTTTTAAATGTTTTAGCTTTGTAGCAATTCTAGATAATGAAATCATTTTTGAATTTGGATTCCTCCTATATGACTGTGAAGACATTAGTGCCTGTGACAAAAAAGACAAGTAAAAGTCTAAACACTATTCATCTGTATCTACTATAGCTATCAGTCTGTCACTCCTCTTCTACTACCTAACATTACTTTTTGGCACTCGCTGCTTTTCCACATTGATGTGTTTCACTCATAGAGACCGCTGTCACTTTTGCTTTCTCCTGCTCTCTGTAATTTCTTCTCTCGTTTTTCATCAAGAAGCTATGAACATTCTCCACCTCTCCTCTTTTAAAGGTTTATCATAATTGGTGATTGCGTCTCTTTGTTAATTAACCCATCCATTGATCTTTGCTTATTTTCCTTTGATCACTTTCTTTTTAAATTAGCTCCTTCCTCTGTCTGTCTCTCACTTAGCAAAAAACAGAGACCAGTAGATACTGTGTTCTTGCTCCTTTTGACTGATTGTTGATGATGATGATGATCAATTAATTGATTGATGAAATAATTAATGAACAATGTTACTATTACTGATGTGACTGAAGTGTGTATCTGACGACCACGCCACTGTAGCAAGTCTGGGCTGTACCACACCACCAGCGAGCAAATGAGGCCACAGTTGCTATGGTGTTGCCATGGCACTTTCATGGCGTTGCCATGGTGTCCTCTGCACCGCCACCACCTGGTGCCTGCTGGGCAATATAGCATAATGTCCTTCACTTTCCCCAAAACACTGGTCAAAAAATCTGCTATGCGCCCCTCTGCTCAGTCCTGATCTTAATCAATGAGAGGTGAAATATTTAAAAGCTCACTTTGGAAGTGCTGGGGGAGCATGGTGGTGACGTGTCTGCTGTCTATGCTGATCTAGACTGGACTGGTTTGGCTTGAAGTGGCTCTGATAGTCTTGATATTGTGTTGATCACCTAATCTTTAAATAATCAGTTTGTTCTGAGCCTGTATCATAAAACTTTATATCACTGATAGCCTGAAGTCAGTCAAGACAGTTGTGTATTTCTAGTGCTGAATGTGTGTGTTTTATGCTCAGAGGGTATATGCTGTGTATGTGCATTGCATGTGAACTTTTTGTGTGTAAAAGTCAACTACAGCATGATTCAGTTGTGCTTTCCATCAGTTATATTTCTGAAAAACACACACAGTTTGCTGGACAGACATGTTTAACACACAATGCCTACATCACTCAGCCAATGATCCTTATCTTCCCATCTTCCCCTAGCTCTCATTAAGCTCTAATCTATGTAAAGCATCACCTCAAGTAGTCTTATAATGTCACCCAGGCACATGTGTGGCTTCACAAATGCTTACACAGTGCACACACACACATACATGCACAGTCTTTTGAGTTTAGAGATTTGGTTACCCAAGGAAGTTAAGTACATTCAGTAGGAAAGTTGTGCTTATTCAAGCTATCTGTCTCTTGAGTTTGCTGTAGTTCTACACTCTGCCTTGCACTGTCCTGCTTGTTCTGATCCATCAATTCCTTTATAGAGTAGTCAGATTCAATTTGCTTTACATTGCTGACTTGCTCCTCTTTTGATTTACCTTGTTGTCCTTTTCTGCTTTGATTTATTACTGTTCAGTCAAACTGTACTATATGCTCTGAGCAGTCCAGTCCAGCCTAGTGCAGTGTGCCAGAGTTTTAAAAAGATCCTGGTGCAACCAATTCCCTCTCTCTATTGGCCCTTGACCTGGGAAGCAATACTTGTGGTGCTCCAGAATTCAAACAGGGTCCTCATTGGCTGAATCGGCCATGAATTATATTAAGGAATTACAGGAGTGCCACACGTTGTACTGACCAGGTTTAGGGTCTGCATGGTGCACCGTGAAAAGCTTGTCTCACAATAGTGACAGGACACATATACCCACAGAAACCAGTGTGTGTTTTCAGCATTATAAAAGGCCCGGTTCTGCTCTAGTAACCTCGCCAACACTACAGGCCTACTTACAGGTTGCTAAGGCGGGTCGCTAGTAGGGTGATGTTGCTCCTAGCCCAGACTGGTCTGGTCTATGCCCTAATTTAAATGTGCTAGTTTATTTGACATTGTCTGTCTGGGGTGGGGCTGGAGGGTCAGTGCTGCACTTACTTCCTGAGAATTGCTTCATAAAATATGATTCTCTTTAATTAATGCCAGTGGTGCTGTGTTTCCTTCCAATTCTTTTGTCATGAATGCAATTAAAACTAAGGGGCTTTGAGACTGTGTTTGTGCATTGTGGGTGTGTGTGTGTAAAGGTGTATTTTTTTCTTGTGACCGTATGTTCCATACAAGCTATTTACCCAGTCAGAACTCCTTCAAAGTAAATTTATGGAGAGCTCAAAAATAGTTTTTTTGGTATTCTGACAAGCAGTTCTGTGTGTGTGTGTGTGTGTGTGTGTGTGTGTGTCGGTGTGCATGCATGCTTGCACATGTTTCTTAGAGGCTTCTCAGTTCTTGTCAGACTTTTGCTTTGATCTGGCCAGAGCTGACCTATAGTAACATCATCCATTTCTTTCACCCTCAAAGAGAGCAACACACCTGTCACTCAGCTCTCAACTTCAGCCAACAGCAGCCATGTCGGAGCCACCTGACTTACCTTATTGCTACTACAACAAACAGATGTGCTGCTGCTGTTCAGAACAGGATTTTAAACTTACGTGACCATCATGCATGTTTGTAGGAAGTCATTCAAACACCTAAGTATATTCACATTGTTAGACCTCTGTGTTTTTGATGTGTTTATTTTTGGACTTTTTCACCTTCACTGGCAGAAATCTTTACAGTGGGAATGGATAGTCAGATTGGGTGGCACACAAGGAAAGATATCTAAAACTGAATTTGAAATAGCTTTAACTGTCATTGTTGGTGGAAATCTTTTATTTTGTTTTCAAAGCAGTTGTTTGCTATTTGAACTTGGTTCTTTAAAATTAGACTCAATCAACCTTGAAAAAACCCATCTAAACAGCACCTGACACATGATATTCTGCAAGAGTGTTGATGATGAAATTAAATATGTTTTGCTCTGCTCCCTGTGTGCCTGCAATCTGCTAATTAGCCATGCTATGTCAGTGTGATGGGCTAATGGCTAATTGCATTGTGAGGCTTCTGTGTGTACATGCAGTAACAACTTAACGCTCTAATAAGACTGAGTTACAGACAGTTGGGGCATGGTGTCCCCTAACACTGGTCTGAGGTCGGTGTTATGCTTTACTCTCTAATGGCTATGACGGGAGAGTGGAGAATAAACTGATCCTTGATCTCCAATGTGTGGGATTTCTATTGCTTGAATGTTGGCCCATCATTTGTCTTACAGCTGGGTACAGTTAGAAGGCAGCAGTGATGTGGTTTGCTTTTGAGTGCTTCTATCAGATACAATTTTTATTTGATTAAATATACATTATATTTAGTGTATGCTGCTCAATTATGCTTTTATCTTGAAGCCTTGAAACATTTCTGAATTGGTCTGTTGATGAATATCATAACCCAACACAGTTATCTGTCTCTGTTGAACTCCTGCCTTCTTCCACATGCTTCATCTTTTTCCCACCTTTTCCTCCCTGCTACAGCTTCGATGAGTTGTAGCAGTCACTGTTCCAACACCATGGTCACACACAGGCATTTGCACACATATAGTACAGTGACACACACTCATGAAGTGTATGTGGGAATGAAGGAGTGCTGAGGTGCAGCAGATTGATCCTGTACTGATCTGGCACCAGCTCCCTGGGGATTTGTAACGCATGTCTGCAGCGCAGGGCTTAACACTTTGTCTCTCTCTTTCATTTTGTCTCTCTCTAGCGACACTAACGTCGTTTCTTGCTATGCACTGCAGTGGCCTCACGCTCTTGAACCTAACAGGTTCACTTCGTGTTTCTGTCAGGTTTTTTTTTTTTTTTTTTTTGCAATTTTTTTTTCTCTGACTCTGTCATTTCATTTATGCTCTGCCTCACTCTATATCTGGTGTTCCCTTCTTTAAAATCATCCCGTTCTCCCAGTGGATTTTCCTTTCTACTGCATTTATTGATAATTTCTTTATTGTTACTTCCACTTTTCTTCTGCTGACACTTATCATTCTTACACCTGGTACATGTGTGTAAATATTTTTGTATCTATAAATCTACTATGTAACTACATCTACATACAGTATATCTCCACACACACTATACTCACACACATGCAGTACATGTGAAAAGCAAGTGCTGCTTCTCTTTCATCATGTGTGCAGCGCCGCAGGGTTCTACAAATCATCGGTTTGATCTGTGAAGTTGAAAAAACACCCAAGCATCCTTTCATCTCACGCCTCCCCCCCCCATCTCCACAGCCACTCTCTCGCTTCCTCTATTTTCTCATGAGCCACACTGGGCCACAGCCACAGACAAATGAGCTGCTATCACTGACCCACAGCTGATACCACACTCTTTGTGTATGATAGCATATCTGCTTTGTATCATTCCAAGCTGTAGCAAACAGAGGGTTAACATGTGGTAGCTGAGACACAGGCTTGTATACATTTCCATTACAGTCCAGATCAAAATTTTTTTGATTATGAAAAAAACTAATGTAGGTCAGAGCTGTAACTAAGAATTATTCAGATGAATTTGATCATTATTTTCTGATGGATATTGTATTTACAGTAACATAAAACAGAGAAAAGCAGGATATCCTGTCACTTTTTTGCTTGGAAAGTCACACATTATTAATTGTTGGATGTGAATTAATCAACCAAACATTTTAGCTTTAATGTAGGAATCAGATGTGGACATTTTATTTGCATGTCATATTTTTATTTTGATGCTCACATATTTGTTTATCTCTATTGTCCTTTTGACATCATATCAGTTGAAAAGAACAGAAAAAATGTCTATGTTAAAAGTCTTTGAGATAGTATCAACAAATACATGATTTTGTTGTATGCTGCAGCCAGTACCTTTGAAGCAACATTACCACCACATCAAGGACAAAATAATTATTCATACTACATCCTTGTGTGTGTGTGTGTGTGTGTGTGTGTGTGAGAGAGAGAGAGAGAGAGAGAGAGAGACAGAGAGAGAGATGCCACCTGCCCAAAGGGAACTCATCCTAGAGAACTGAGATGAAGGTTAAGATCCTCAGACTTGTTCGCCTCTTGCCTCATTATCCAATCTCCCCTCTTACCCCCAGTCTCCCGCCCGCCTGCTTTCATCCTTCCCTTTGAGCACATTTTGTTCACAACAGCCTCTTCCTTCTTGTAGCAGTAAGAAAAGGTTTTGCAGCCCACAGCTGAGGCTTTGAATTCTTGTTATTATTTAACACATACTGTGAATAGTAATACATTTCAGCTCACATGCCTGTTTTGCTCATGTTAGTAGATGAGCAGTTGGCTTGGCCATGGTCCCAGACTCTACTCAGTGCCTTGAACTCAACCTCTACCCAGTGAAGACAGAATGTGCCAAAAACAGATGTATTATTATTATTATTATTATTATTATTATAGTTGCTGTTGTTATTGTTAGCAGTAGTAGTATTTACTTTGATAAAAATAATGAATGGGCACATAACACCAAATTGTGGTATTGCTACTTTTACTTAAGTAAGAAATCTGAGCACTTCTTCCACCACTGGCTATTTGCTTAGTTAACCACATCAGCATGAGAGGGGACATGTCAGTGTTGCATTCAAAGCTTGTTGCCATTTCCCTAAGTGTCCAAACGAATCAGTTGT